TGAGTGTTAATGATAATGTTTAGTTGTTTTTACTTTGAGCTTAATGATTCCTTATGTCTGGCCATCATTTGGATTGATTGTTTGATTAGTTTAACTTGAGAAAGTTAAGTTAATCTGTGAACTTTGGTAAAAACATGCTAGTCTAGAAATTTAACTAAGTAAATAGACGGTTTGTTGATAGAACAGAGATGTATCTGTTGACCTAGCATAGACTAAATGGGTTTTGGTTTTTAAAGTGCAACCTTTTCAAAAAAATGCAAGAGATTACTGTGTTTTAATTGTGATTGCAAATATTTGGTTTTGACTTGAGAAAGCTTAATCAATTCTGCAAACCCCGGCTAACTGAACTTATTGTAAAGCACTACTTGAGAAGTGATTAATCCAGTTTCATGAAGTATTTTAGTGAAGAATAACCCTAGTCTCTTAATTGTTTCAAAGTCAAGTTGATTTTATACTGCTTTAAACCATTGTTTTCCTAATCTCATTTCATAAACTCTTTTACAACAATTGTTTCACTTAACCTAATCAAGAACACGATTATGATTTTCAACTCATCTAGCTTTAGTTTCTGAGGGAACGATACTTTTTATATTACTTGCGAGCCGTCCACTTGCGGTTAAGTTAATCGGTGAACAATTCTCTCTAAATTGCCACACATACAATCATTCTTTCATTGCCCTTTTTTTTGGGTGAAATTTCATAGTCGAAATTTTGACATGGTTGCACATGAAAAGTATAAAAAGAATATCTTTAACAAATATTAAAAAAATAAAATGAAGTCATATATTTCATATTTTCCTCTATTGTGTTCTGGAATTGAAAGAAAATCTAGTTTTATACATATATCAACTATTGTTTTCTTTTTCGTGTCCTCGCACCTCTTTGTAAGTTATAAGCTCCCTATTTAATACATATATTTTCAGCTAGAAAATTGATATATATGATTCTAATCCAAATATTATTCCATCTAATTTTGAAGACTGTAATCAACATTGATATAGAATATTGTTCATACTGATATTATTCCCAATTGTTGAAGAGACCTTCCCAAACTTGAATCCACAAATTTGGGGTAGTTGCATATCCATATGTCGCTTAGCTGCGCCTGAATCTGCAATCCTTGGCAAACATTCATGAAATTTGGCAAATTTGTTAGCTCTATCTTCCTCAAGCTTGAAAGCACAATCTCACCGTAGTTGGTATCATCTTCACTATTATGTCCAAAAATCACCTCTAATTGATTAGCCTCAGTTATCAACAAAGAGTATAGTTGTGGAAGAATGGTAGCCATGGACGTAGAGAAGAGTCTTTTGAGCTTATTGCACCTCTTAACTTCCACCCATCTTAATTCTGGGAAGCCAACTTGAACATTATTGGACATGATCTGATGTTCCTCATTTTCTGCAATTATTTCCTCTAATTCCTCACAATCAAATAAGGTTAGAGAAGTCAGTTTGGGAAGGCTGTTGTGGACAATAGTGCTCCTTGAAAATACAAACTTCAACTTTTTACAATGAGTTACTTCTAAGGAGCAAAGATATTGGAAGCTCAAAACTTGTGTGGGAACAAGACCCCCCAGCATTTGTTGTTTTGACCTCAACATTTCTGAGTCATTGGTTTCTTCTTGCTCATCATCACCAATCACTTGCCACTTATGTTCAACTCTAGGACCTTGAGTATCAAGCTCTCCAGCATATAGAATAGGAAGTGAAAGATTGAAAGCCTCATTATTATTTAATTGGCTGTCTTTCAACACATACTTCCTTTCAAGTCCCTGCATGCAATAGAGAAGTAAGAGGTGGGAGGAATAAAATATTATAAGTTCATCAGAAAGATTATGAAAAGAAAGAGATCAAATTTAAAAACAAAAAATAGTCACAACTTGATAAATCAAACTGTAGATCACATGGTTTGTTCCATGTATGATAGTACATGTTAAATAGATACATGTAAAGAAGTAGAAAGGAATATTTTATGAAATGCAGAACGATTTGTTTCCCATCCAGCTTTTGTATCGAAATATCTTGTGCCTATGCATGTGAAAGGAAAGAAGGTGTTAGACCGGACTTTATGAGCTTAAAAATGAACAAAACATTAAACCATAAAAAATGGAAACATTAACTATTCTGCTAGCTACCATGAATTTAATCAATATTGCAAAATAAAACATAGATAAGATTTGCAATATGAAGAAACACAAATGTAGAATATTAGTTACCTCTTTAGTCTAATTAATAATTGCACTCATAATTTTCACAAGTATAGGGGAATCATGAACCTCAACAGTGCAACACTCCCATGTTTGCAACTTAAACCCTTGGCAAGTTCTGAAGTTTCATAAGTTTCATGTTTGGGAGCAAAATCTCCTTTTCAGTGTCAATGCCTTGATTTTCAATATTTGAGCATTTAAAAATTTGTTCCATTTGATAAGAATCTGATATGATTAGAGTGTCTAGTTGTGGAAGGATTGAGGTAGCAGCACTGATCATGGAAATGAATTTAAGCTTGTTGCAATTAGAGATCTCCAGCCTCTTCAATTTCAGCAGACAAGATTCAGTGATGGATGGATTCTTATCAATCTCTTCATTTCCCCAAAATATTGCCTCCAACTCCTTACAACGAGACATGGTTACAGAAATTAACCCTGGGAGACTTTGAAAGATATGAGCATAAAAGACAAACTTTAATCTTGCGCAATTTTCCAAAGTTAATTCTTCAAGGTACTGAAATGTTGGAATTTTGTCCTTCAACCCCAATCTGGTAGTTTAAAATGGATTCTACTCCACAATTATGAAGTCGAATCCTTTCTATAGTTGCCAATGACTTGTATTCTTCATTCCCCAGTTGACGGCCTTTAAGTTCCTTCAATTCCTTTGTGAAAGAGGGGGAAAAAAGGAAGAAAAGGAAATGAAAATCATTAACATATTTCCTAAAAATGATAAATTGGGATAAATTAAAATTCGATAGGCACATGTATTATTATTGCATAGACTTAATCTATCAATTTTTTGGCAAATTAAACAAATAAAAACCAACCATATGCGTATATAAGAAAATAGATTTCACAATCAATGAAGTCAAGGAAAAATTATAATGAGGGGCCCATAAATGTCAATGTTTATTGTGGGCTGTTGAAATGATAAATAAATCGAATGACCACAATACAAACTAACAAAATGTAATTGTTGGGTTATTCAAGCATTGAAATGTTTTTCAGGACACAGCCGAATTTTTATTAATGTTTTTAGATATTTTAATTTTATTTCTTTTTCTAAATAACAAAATGTGAATGAGTTAATTGACTGAATCATCTCCCAAAATGCACTCACTTGAACATTATTTATTAGTAAATGCATGTTAAAAAAATTTAATCACGTGAACAAAAGATATCTTTTTATTAAAAAACCAGTCCTTTTAAACATTTTTTGCAAATCTAGTTACAGTATGGGAGGCAAATGCGTACCATATTTGGGCAGTCTTTCCATTCTATTGTCTTTATAGATGGACACCTTGGATGATACCTCTGAGCAAATTTGGACAAGATTTGGAAGATTTTTAGGTTGAGATATTCCAAAAGAGGAAGAACTATCTGAGTCTCATCTTGATCAAGCATTGGTTCGTCTTCACCAGCATTTTCACCAAACAAAGATTTCATCTGTAGAGCATTTACTATGGATAGCTCTTGCAATTGTACGAACCTTCGATTTAAAAAGACTGGCACACAGATTCTAAATTGCAGCAATTCCTAACATACAAAATTTTCAATTTTGGGAATCTCAAACTCACCCATGCATCAACACCACCATCTTCCTCTAATATGTGCTTCAATTCATTGCAACATTTTATTCGGAGTTCCTCTAAGGATAGTAGCGTGCAAACAGCAGAGACAGGGGAGAGGGATGTTAACATTGGACACTTGTTAACATTGAGAACCTTAAGATTGCCTAAGTTGCAATCAGCAGGGAATATGTGGAGCAAATGAGGACAATTGAATATGGTTAATCTTTCCAACTTTTGGAACAAGCTAAAAGGAGAAGGACCACGGCATAGCCGTTCAAGATTATCCATATCTCTTAGCACCAACTCATTCAATTTGAGGACAACCGCATCTTCATGAAGAGTAGTTTTGTCAATAATGCATTCAATCTTTGCACATCTTTGAAGACAGAGTCTACTTAACTCCTTCATGCCCCCTACAGCTTGGATTATATCAGGCATGAAACTTTTGCTACCTCCTTCAAGCTCATAAAATACAATTTTCGTTGCTCTTTGTGCAAGATGCTTGATTATTGTGGGTGACAACATAGAGATATTTAACTGACCCAAGCGTAAAGATCTTGTATGTTCACCGTTAAATACGAAGCCTCTGCCATGCTTCCTAATTTCTAAATCATACCTTCTCAAATACATCAAAGCAGTGTGGCCCACAAGGTATTCATAGCAATTTGTATTTTTTGAGTGTCGAGAATGTGTGGGAACATACAACTCTTCTAACTGTGAGCATCTTCCTATTACATCATAACAACATTCATCTATTGTACAACTTGACAAATCTAACAACTTCAGCTTCTTCAACTTTTCAATTCCACTCGGTACTCTTTCAAATTTACTAAATCGCAAGTCAAGAATTTCAAGTCTTATAAGGGTTACCACAAAAGAGATGTCACGTAAATCCCAATTTTGTAATCTCAAAGTTTGAAGGTTTGACAAGTGTTGGATTAAATGAGGTCGTAGTTTAATCCTATCCCATTCCACACGCATAACAATCAAAGCCTTGAGTCCTTTAGTACCTTCAAATAATGCATGTGATATATCTAAGGTTTCCCTTGAGTGTAACAATAGAAACTCAAGTTTTGGGGCATCCAATTGAGAAGGAAATTGAAGTAATTCATTATTTTCATGCCATGAAGACAACAACTTTTTATCACTTCATCAACAATCAACTCATTTAATTCTTTTGTACAATTTACCATAATATTACCATCTTTTTTAGACGCGATTCACAATGCAACATCACGAACCATATCATGTAATTTCACATGTGTTGGTGCATCCACGTTGAACTTTAGAGAAGAATGCATCAACAATGAGGAGTCAATGAGATAATTTATAGCTGCTTTGACTTGGCTCCTCACTGTTTGAAATGAGTCTACATCTTTGCATAGGCCTAATCCCACTCCATATCTAAAAAGGTCTTCAACAACAATGTCATGGTCTTCAGGAAACATAGCACATATTAGCAATAACCGCTGGGCTTCTAGAGTTGCCAAAAAATCATAGCTTAATTCAAGACAAGCAAAAGCATCCCTCACACCTTTATCTATATTGTTTGGCTTTGCATTTCTCAACCTACACAACACTATATTCATCTCATCAACTCCTTTTCCTTTCAAGCAACTTCCTATAGCTACAATTGCAATAGGTAGGCCTTTAAATTCCCTAGAAATTGCTCGTGCCACACATTCCTTAGCAGCTTCATCAACATTAGCATGAGTTTGAAACAAAGTCCATGCTTCATCTTCTTTTAACAAATGAAGTTGAATCTTTTTTTGGCATTCCATCAAGGTACACACATCTAGGCGACGCGTGGTCAGGATAACTGTGCAACTTCTTTGATGATTTCTTTCAATGGGAATCCCTATGTCCTCAAGATTCAGCATAGCCCATATATCATCTAGTATTATCAAAATTCGTTCTCCACTTTGTAATCGTAGAGCTATTCTTTTCGCCCTGCCCATTTCAGTTTCTTCCTTCAATTCAAGCCCCAGCGTGTCAGCAATCTCACCTTGAATTTTTCTTATGTCTAGGCTTTGAGAAACTGCCGTGAGCACAACTCGATCAAATAGCTGTGACTTTTTGGCTTTGTTTCCCACTTCTTTCACCAAGGTGGTTTTCCCTGACCCTCCCATCCCCCATAATCCAATCATGGAGTTACCATCATCTTGCAATGCCTCCCACAATGGATCAAAAGCCTTTTGCGTAGAATTGAAGAGCTTAAAATTTTGAGAAGAGTGATAGTCAATATTAGAAATAGTAACAGGATGGGAAAATGGATTGAAGTGATCACTCTTTATATCTAGATCAATCATCCTCTGAGTCGTCTTAGCCAACATTTTGCAGAGACAATGTCTCCTCCAAGTAAGACACCACCCTTGAAGGCAACCACTGTTGGCCCTTAGTTCTTCCGCCAGTTTCTCCACCCCTGCTATAAGGCTATTCACGTCATTCTTCCACTTGTTAACCTCACCATCATTCCTCTCAGTCCTATTGATGGCCTCTTGAGCACATTCTTGCACCTTTCCATGCTTTAGTATTAGCTTCCTTTTTTTGATGTCAACGTTTCCGGTGATTTTGCTAACATAGAATATATACTGCAGCTGTTGTAAAGTTGGATGCACCAAATATTCAGCAAGTTTTGCCGCCACTGACGCTCCGACCTCAGCCATTTATTATTAATAATAGCAACCTGAAAGGAGAACCACTCATCATCATCAAATGATTGACTCAAAATTTCATTTTGAAGAATTGAAGCACCTTAATTATATACTTAATCTTTCATGAAGATGCATCATCAAAGATGAAAAGAATATTCTTTTCCTCTCCCGAGTAAAATAAGAAAGATTAATTGTTTTGGTTCAGCAATGTTTAGATATCAGATTAACAAACTTAGTACTGTTTTATGATTCTATTTTTTTCCTAGCAGATCGACACAAATTAAAGGTCAAAGAAAGAAGAAAAAAGAAAGTCTGCAACCAACAACCAATTCATACTTTGAGAATTGACAGATATAATGTGCTTGAAAAATTTTCCCAAAGAATAAAGAGGGGAAAAATGAGTCTCTGATGAGGAGAGGGATATTGCATCATACCAGTGATGAACTTGCACTGTCAGTCTTGGCTTGTAGATTTTCAAAAGTGAGAAGAATAGTACGTTGATAAGATGGTTCAAGCCTTAATCAGCAAGTGTTGTCCATTTTCCATTTCTTTGGACCACAAATCACGCCGTTCATATCCCAACGATCCAACATTCAAAAGTTAAACAGCAATCTCATCATTTTTACTATTCAAAAGTGACAAAAAAGTATTGCTAGTTTTTGAATGTGAAGAAATTATTTATACATGACTTACAAAAGATTCATTGTTGGATATGTGTAAATAGACCAGTTAGCTCTCTTTAAATTGTGATCTACTACCTCCTGTCCTTAATATAAGAATTAGTTTGACCAATTTGAGTAGATTAAAGAGGTTTATTGAGTTAATTATTTATAATAAACAGGTATTGTCTTTCATAAAATAACCTCAATACTAATCATGTGTATTAGCTAAAACTATCATTTAATGAAACATTTAATATGTGCAACCACTACAAAGACTATATCCCCAAATAATGAATAAATATGAGAGATAAAGTTGGTTGGAGTGTAGGACTCAACTAATGTCATCTTAAATTTTTTATAGTAAAAAAGAAAAGACAAAACTATCATTTTGACTCTTTTTTTTTTTGTTGATTTGATCATAAAACATGAATGTCAATGCTAATTAGATCCTGTTGGCTGAAGAAATTTTTATTCATATAATTTGACCCCTTGGCCGTAATTATCTTAGTGGTATATTTTTCATAAATCAAACCGTGTTTGAAAGAATATCAGATGCCATTCTTGAAAGATAATTAGTTTTTGTACAAGTGCCAAGTGTTACTTATGGTAGGGCTTTTACCTTCTGGAAAAAAACGATTTATCTTTTAAAAAAATTAGTTTTTGATAAATATAAATGTTTAAATAATTCTTAAGTTAAGGAGGGGTATTTTGATAAAATCAAAGTTTAAGAGTCAAACTTAATAATCAACTAGTGATTTGATAGGTGAAAATAAAATTTCAAATATATAAAGGAGGTTTGTGTGGCATAGATTTTCAAAATAGAGCAAGGAGAGATTTCTATAACTTGCTTAAATTAGAAGGGTAATTAGTGTATTTTACTTTGAATAATATTATAACATTCTTTACGATAAATCAAAAGACTCTATGACCAAAAAAAACAAATCAAAAGACTCAATATTATCCTTTTATTCTCGTTTTAATTCAAAAAAAATTTCTTGACCCGCTCAAGACAGACCAATTTTCAGTAAATGAACTGAAAACTACTCCAACAATATTAATTTTGTATTAAGGAACAAGATAGAGAGTAATTCATTTTGTAAGTATCTATGCTTTATATTCATACTTTAAAATTAAGACATTAAATTACTTTTTGATTTTTTGTTTTATAATTGATGCTATATACCAATGTACTCGCGTAAATATTTTTGTGAAAATTTTATACATATACATTCTATTTTCGAAAATTATGGAGATTTTCCATGGAATAAATAGTAAATGAGACAAATTTTTATTACTTTTAATAAATAATTTTGTGGGTTTTAATCTTCAATATAAAGAAAAATCCCTCTTAGTTAAAACTGAAGGTGAGCATCACGTAATTTATTATTTACATTTAAAATTTTTTGTGCAAATCAGTATCAGCATTAAATAAAAGTTCATGTGATTTCGATAGAAATATACAGTATTCAGTCCAAAAGAATAAAAATATTAAAAATAGTGTCATTGTAGGGAACCACATTTAATTTATTATCGATTTTCTTAGATAACTTTTTTCCCCAAAACTCAGGTTATTCATGTATTACACAATGTAGAATAGAAGCATTACATAATCGTTCTTGTCAATATCATCACGATGGAAATAAGAAAGATCAATTATTGTAACCTTCTCGCTATGTGGTAGATCTGAGCATTTTCAAGCTACTCCCTCTAGTACTTATTATAGGAGTGCAGAAATATGCTAGGATTAACGAATAAAACATAATATTAACTAATTAATCCGAACATATTTCTTCAAGGAGCCCTTCTAGCTAGAAAAAATTCTTGATCCTTTTTATAAGGCCATTTGATAGGTTCAATGAGTATTACATACTTTTTTCCCGTATATGCCTGTATTTAAAGCCCTGTATGGTTCTTGACAATTAGTCTCCAGATAAATCGTAGAACAATAAATTGATCACTATAGAGAATAGCATCCTTAAGAGCAAGATTCAGAATGAAAGGGAGAAGTTGCCACAGCTTTCTTACGCACAGTGCCAGAGAAGAACCATTGTTATGATCTCTATAAATAATCCCAATTCCAGTACAAGTAGAATTCTTACTGAAAGCATCATCAAAGTTTATTTTTATTGAACCATATGTAGGTGCTTTGCAAGATAATTCCCTTGGCATATGATTAACACTACACCTCTGTACGTGAGTAATTTCAGTACTTTTAGACCTCATTTGCCAACAAAGATGCTGAAAAGATCACTTTCGTTGGATCAACATGAATCTCTTGAAAAACAAATTCATCTTGCTTTCCAAATACCCCAACATGATGCTGCAAAAAGAGATCGATCTTTAGTTGCAGTAGCCCCGTTTAGTAGTCTCCAAATAAAATGTTTTATTTTAGGCGGAACCTCTAACCTCCAAATGCAATTCCAAAGCTGAGTAGGGACACTATAAGAGCTACCAGGTAGCGACAAAACTGCCTTTTCTTCTTCTTGTTTTTTTTTTTAGCAAACCGATAGCCTGATTTAACAGTATAACCTCCATTCTTACAAGATAACCAGGCAGGAACATCTATATCATTTGTTTCTGGGATCTTCATTTTCCTGATCCAATTCTTTTCTGCATCAGTTAGCTTCTGGGCAATCAATTGTAAATTCTAAGAGCCATTAGAGATTAGATCTCCCACCTTCAAAAGCTTTTCAGCATCGGTGGTTGGTGATCTAGAAATCTGATGATTAGGGTTCTCCAATAGCCATCTCTGTCCAAAAACATTAACATTGCTTTTAGGTCGAATATAATTTTCCATGAGACATTCATTGTTATTTTAAAAGTTGATTTAATATGTCAGTATTTGAAAATATTTTACCAATATTTAATTATTTTAATATTGGTATTTCTTATTAATGAAATTAACAATATTATAATTAGAAAACTGAGAAGACATTTTTTTAAAAAAAAATTGAAAAATAAAACTAAAACCGGGGAGTTAAACCCAGCTTGAAAACTACTTGAAAGAATATCCGAACAACCTTCTTTTTTTTTTTTGCCGACAACTAACAACTAGAATATAATACTTCAAATCATATTAATTCGGATTATAATGATGTTGCCTTGCTTCCCCCCCCCCTTTTGTAAAAATCTTTTTCCTAATATTCGAACACTTCTCTTTTTATTGAATTTCGCAATCCCTGTATTTCATTTATCCAACATTCCAACTCTAGTCAATCCGCGTTAGACCACATATTAAAGGTTTTATGCTATCTTCTCATTGGACAAAAAGATCAAGCTATATTATTAAAAAAAGGGTAATTTTATTTTTCTATATTTTTACTTATATGCATAAATAAAAAATAAAATTACAGTCAATTAATATCACATATTATGTACTCTAGACAAATTGAAATTTAAAGACATGTGCAAAACAAAAGAAATAGAGGGCTTGTTTGTTTCTATTCTTTGTTTTTTGTTCTCAAAACAATTTTATAAAATTATTTTTTACAACAAGTTTTGAGAATAAAAAATATGTTTGGATAATTATTTTAAAAAATAAAATTTGGAATAAAAATAAAAAATCACATTTGACAAGTGTTACCTGTTGTTGGCAGTGATACATGGTGGGCGGGGTGAGAAAAAAAGAAGGTTTCTCTAATTTTTCAAAACAAAAAATAGAATATAAAAAAAATCTAAAAATTGTTTTTTTTTGTAAAAACTTATTACAGTTTTTTTTGTTTTTAAAAAAACCAACTAAAAACAAATTACTAAACAATTTTTTTATTTTTAAAAATAAAAAATTATTTTTAAAATAAGAAACCAAACAAGTCCAGAGTTGCTCTAATTTTTGTAGCGGACATTATGTTGTGAATACTCTTTACATGGGTCTTTCTCAGTGACCACTTCGATGATATTTTGAAAATTATTCTCATATTATTTTTAATTATTTTGAAAATCATTTTTACTATGAACTAAATAAAGCCCAAATAAACCCAATTGCTTTCAATTTTCCAATTTTTTCTGTACCCCAAAATACGCCATCTTATGTAATTCCTTTCCTACTCACAAAGATCAATAAATTAATTTGGACTGTGTCTTTTTGGAAGTTCTGGACCACGGAGTCGAAGTTGCCTTTCCTAACAATCCAACTATAGTGCCAAACGTTCATTGGTGCATCTTTTATTTCTTCGAATTTTTTCATTTGTTATTCATAAAATAAAATCATCTGTTAATGAATTATGATTTTGCTTTTGAAACTAATGAGAGGCACAATCATGTTGGTGCACAGATTGAGGGGCAGCAAGTCTCTCTAGTGCTAATTCGTTACATCACCATGTTGTCATTCGAAAAAGAAAAAGGAGAAGAAAA